TCTTGCGAACTAGATTATTCTACACATCTAGAGTAACACGGACACAAATTTCTTTTTATGTGTGGAAGTTTTATCTTATCACAAGTAGAAAACATTTATTATGAGCATCTTAGATATAATATCTAACAGTCTTTTATGCATTTTAGAGCGCAATAGATTAAGTAATCTCCTTTGGTGTCTAGGTAGTATACAAGGCTAAATCCTGGGCCAACAGGGACAAAATTTCAGAGTCCCTTAAAGGGACTGTAAAAATGTGAATGAAACCAGATATCGGTGGCCACCCTAAAGCTGAATACACATTTTGTCACTTAATACCCTTCTCACAAAGTGGCATACAGGCAAGTCAACTAAAGAAACTGGGATAAGCAACTCACTTTTTCTCTACACGTGCTCATGTACCACACACCTTGAGAGCAAATGATTACCACAGCACCTGCGTTTGTTTGTAGCTTCTTTTAATGCTCTCAATTTGATATGTTCGAAAAGAAAAAATGAAACTCGTAACAATGAAAATGGAATATAAGGAGATGGTGACGTATCAGCAAAGAGATGGTTTAGGGCTGTTAATTTCTACAGGCATGCTGCTACAACACTCCATGGGACAGAAGCAGAAACAAGTCTTCCCTTCAGTGAGCTTACAATATAATTACCTCAGTGCATACTGTTGTGTTTCATTAGTAGCAGAACAAATTGGGTTGCTACACACATATGCATATAAACACATATGATTTCAGAATACTCAATCATATAACTCCTAAAATTTTTAATTTAAAAAAATTTTTTTCTAGAGAACCCAGGCTGAGAAGATTAGTGACAGAAACAGTAAAAATCAAATTAGCATGCCCCAATAAATCAGCAGTACAGGGCCATGTTTGGTTTGCTTCACTGATGGGAATAAAATTCTCCAAATTCGCTTATTCAGAACCATCTCTTTCATTGAATTTCCAAAATTAATAATGGCCTTAGGGCAGAAACAAAAGAAACTATAGTATAGTCTAGCAATTTGATAATATCCTCTTCCTTAAGTATTTTGTAAAGCTAATAATGACAATATTCCTGTGATAACTCTCCATCTATCTCCTGAAATAGTGTTAAAGTAGTAGAGTTCTAACTGCCCTTCTTACCACAAGTATAATATATAGAAGAAACACACCGCTCTATACTCAGTTGTACGCTTTTTGAACTATTTGGAATGCCAAATGCACATCTTTGAGACATCATGCAACTAAGGGAGACTATTATGGAGAGGGTGGCCATATGGACTGTTGTTCAAACTGGCATAATTGGACAGTGAAATGGGATATAATTATTTATTAAAATGGTATACAATAGGCATAAGCCAGGACTCCTAGCACACTGGGATATATGGTCATCTTAGGTAGGAAGAAAGAAGATATTCATATGTACAGATTAAAAACAAAACGAAGTTCCCTGGAGTTGTAATCTTACTTGTTTGAATAATAAGGGAATGTAGTGCTCAATGCATCCAATGTCAAGACAAGTTTTAGATAACTGGCTGACAGTGGTAAATACTGACTCTTCCAAAACTCAAAAGATTCATACAGTTCTAGCAACAATCTTTGGAAGCTGGAAAGAAGAGGTTGAAAGAGCACCACTGCTTAGTGCGGTCTTGGATTCTTCATCTGACCCAGCTCGTTCTCATACAACAGGGTAGCTTTAGGGACAGGGATAGAGGGGCTTGTCTTTGACTCCTTTACAGCACCCAGCAGGGTATAGGAGCAATAAGCACTTTGCCTGAGAAATGGGGATCTCATAAAAGGGCCTCAGTGCAACCCTCCCTAGCCTGCCTGGGACAGATGTAAGGCCGCAGGCCAGGGTTGAAGAACACCAGGCCAAGGTCTCAACAGCCACCCTGGATTGGTCTGATTCAGGTCCCTATGGGTCTCTGGAATATGTGGTTAGGTCTGCGTATGGGACAATAAAGGCAAGCCATGCTGTTCTCCTCCGGTACAAAGTTCAACATATGGCTTTCTGGGGAGGTTTGTGCATCTGCAGGCATTTAGGTTTAGGGAATACACTAAATAAATAAAAGGCCCAGAGTCTTAAACATTTAAATATGATAAAGGGCAAACATTATCTCATTTTATATTGCAGCAGAGATGTAAAAGCATATTTAATTATGTATATAATTAACAACAAAACCACCACCTTGCAGAAAGTCCAAAGGCCACCAGTTAAAGAGTTCTTTAAAGCATATATACCAACAGTACAATCACTACCTTCATCTTAAAATTTC